TTTTGAAAACCACGAATATATATGTTTTTTGAAGTAATTTCATACATTGAGTTGAGTTGTCATAATACTTCGACAATGCCTGGATCCAATCATTGCGCACAACTCAATGTATGAAACTACTTCAAAAAACATGTATATTCGTGGTTTTCAAATTGGAAAAATATTAAATTCGATACATTACATCATTATTTAATGTTATTAAATTTTTTTTGGTTCCACTTTTTTTCCAAATAAATTTTCATAGTCTTTATTACACAAAGTATACCAGAAGTCAAAGTACATGAAGTTGTACTTAAACGTTGTTGCGTTGTTGCGTTGTTGACGTTCTTGTAAATTCTTGTGAACAAACCATTTGTACGTATTTGTTTCAATTTGTTTACAAGTTTACAACGGCTTTCTCTGGATTTAATATAAAATAAAAATAATATAATTAAATATATAATTTCATACAACAACATGCGAATATAAATTCCATGATTTCATAAACGGAATCGTACTCAATGCTTGGATCCAGGCATCGTCACAATGCTTCCGCACGCATCTATGCATGTCTGTGAAAGACAAAAATGTCCCCACTAAGGGACAAAAATCGTGGATCCAGGCATCTGAAGTAATTTTTGTAAGTAATAATCTGAAGTAGATTTTGACAAGCGCTTAGTCGAATCGGCGCCACAGAGAAATAACTACGTGGTGCACAGCTCTGGTTATGTTTTCTGTGTGCGTATTTGATGTTTTTAATAAAATGAATATAAATTTGTATTGGTGTTAAAAATCGAACATCTTCTTTTTAGTTCCTAACACACTACAATGAAAATGAGTTTAAATCTTTGATCCACCAGAAGGTGGATGCGAATATTGGACGAAAACTTGCCACTTTTCAGCAAACAAATGAAGCGAAATGTCGCAGTTTTCTTGTGAGTTTATTTCAAATTGGCCAACTTTACTTGATCACTTTTACGTGTTTCATCTCAGTGAAACAAAGAAATAAATTTGCAACGTATTTGTTTTACAGCAACGGGCTAATTTGCACAGTGAAATAGTGAGCAAAGAAATTAAATCGTCGTTTGAGAGTAATATGAGATCACAAATAAATATCGGATTTACAGAATGTGGTCGGATGACTGATGATGAATTCATCAAATTGTTCATCAATTCAAACAAGATCGCATAATAAACGAAGAAAAACGACACGCAGCCCTCTAGGCGAGGGACACTCAAAACAGTCATCGTACATATATTGAGCGGGCACTATCGATGCGTTCATTTGTGTGAGTGCGATTGTGTAAACGACAATGTTTGTGTTCAATATGTGTATGATGACAGCTTCGAGCATTCCACGCGTAGAGGCGTCTTGGCGTCTTGCATCAAATCTTTCCCAAGTATTTGTATACGAAGAAAGCGACCTTGATTCAAAGCAAAACTCTTTACAAGAGGTAAGACACTCAGATTTTCTATTCAATATTGCACTCAATAAAATTATGCACTTCATTAGTGCTTCCAGGAAAATGGATAATGACGAACTTTCAAATCAAGTTTATAACAACTTCCGTGTAATACTTGAACGAGATTTAGACAACATGCAACCGATACTGAATCAAGTGAAAGAATCTTTGAGAGAAAATAATAAAGAAAACGGATTTGTTTGTTCCATAGAAGCAATTATAAAACACCAAATAATATTTGGTTAATTTTAAGGAGGGATTTTAAAAAAAAGAAAAAAAGATCCATCATTTCATGCGTATGAAAGCTATTTAAACAGTTTTGACAGTTTTAAAGCGATTTGAAAAGATTTAACTAACCCAACTGTTAACTGGAGCGAACACTGGACACACCGAAATTGCGAAACTTCGTAACGATATAATTTATTTTTGATAAAATAAAATAACAGAACTAGGAATATCACCATTGTGGCTAGGTTCTTGGTAATTTATATTTATTACGCATTGCTTATGTTTTTTTTAAATAAAAATGTAAATGAATCATCATCATTTCTGAAATGAATCATTGCATCGGTCTTTTGAGTTCAGTCAAATTATAACCAAAGAGCTAATGTCAAATGCTAGTCTCCACTACTCAAACATCTGTTTATCTCGTTTGAACAAATATCAAATATATGACTCTGTAGTCGCATATACATTAATAATAAGAACTTTTTTTTTGTGTGACTTAACAAATTTGGGACACCAGGATAAATTACAGTTTTTATTGAAAAATTGTCACCTTCAATTCAATTATTTTGTTTTGTGTCGTTAAAAATAAATTCTATTTTAATAATTTTTAGCTTAATAAAATAAAATTTTAAAGAAATATCAATCAAAGAAACGACTGATGACTGTTTTCACAAACGGGATTGAAATGGGAAAACCCACTTCGATAAAAACAAAACTTGATAAGAATACCATAGAAATATTATTTTTAATACTGAGAAGAAAAAAAGATCGTTCCAGTACGAAGTCGAAGATTGATTTTACTCTTTTGACCATTTTAGTTTCTCAGAAGATTATCGTAAAATTAGTTGTGCTATTTCAATCATCAAAATTTTTCATTCAAAGTCGAATAATTTTTTTTAAAGTTTGATAAAGAATTCCAAAATCAATTGTGTTTCGACGGATGAAAATGGTGAAATTATTCACAGTGGTGCTGTTGCTTGCTGCAATTTTCAATGGATTTTTTACAGGTATAATGAGCTATAATTCAATGATTTCGTACAGAAAATGAAGTCGATCAAAAATGAAATTCCTCAATCTTAAAACAATCTTCCGCACAAGATGCGCACAGGACATTGCTTTTGCACTGTCGCAAAGATGTTTCTTATAAAGACTTCATTTATACGTTTTTAAAATATTAATTGAGTTTCTTGACATTTGTTTTGCGTCATGATTGTCTTCAAAAGTTGAGCAGGACGATAGGTAAGTTAGAATCTGAAAGAAACCGTTTAGAGCAGTATCAAATATTTATTTTTGATTTTATTCCTTCTGCCCCCTATTTCGGATTTCGATGTCGCAAAAAAGTGCTGTAATGGCATTAGAATAGCTTTTGCCTCGAAATGATATCAAAGTTGAAGTTTTTGTTGAAAGTTGCAACCTAGGATGTAACTAACAAACTTTCAAACGAGCATCTAACGATGCCAAACCTTTGCCAGCATTCTACATGGCACGATTTCGATAAGTTTGTTAGGATTCATTCTGAACGTTCAACTGAATTTTGTAAAAGAAGGTCTACAATCTTAAATGAAAATCCAAAATGATTTTCAAACCAAAAGATGATCAATTTTGTAATTAAACGCTGTGGACCTTTTTTTAAAAAAATTCAGTTAATTGATAATCCTTTTGGAAAAATTTTGAACGTTTTTTGTGGAATGTCCTATAATAACGACGCTATTTTTGTAACCTCGAAATTTGAACCAGGGGAGCGATTTGAATTGAAAAGAAAACCATAAAATGATCATGAAACATTTTAAAATTTGATTTCTAATTTATCTATGCCAAGGTCCAAAGTGAATGAGCTGATTGATGCAATAAAAAACGGTAGGTTGAGCTTCTTTTGATTATGTTATAAAAGCCTTTCAATTTTGCTAGATTATTTTTCATATTTAGATTCAACATCAAGAATCGAATCGTTGATCGGAGCAGGAATGAATATGAGCCTACGATTTGATAATGGACAAACTCCAATCCATTTGGCTACAGAGTTGGGTAAATATTCTTATCAACATTTTTATTTTCAATGTCAAAACGAAGTGAAATCACGTCTTCAATTGCAATTGCTTTTTATAAAACATATTTTTTGTTTGTAAAATAGCACCACAAGGGCAATTAAAAAATTAAACAGTTTTTAAGACGATTTCAAAATTGCGGGCAAATCGTTTATTGCTTGTAAAATATCAAAAAAGAGATTCTAGCACAAGGGATTAGCTCTAGTAGTTTGAACATTCTAAGCTTCTGCCCTCATTGACCGAATGAATAAAGTTCAGTAAATATCACTTCCGCAGGCCTCCTTGGAATAGTACAGTTGTTAATCAAAAATGACGTAGATCCAAACATCCGAGATGATAATGGAGGAACTCCATTTCATGTGGCTGCTCAAAATGGTACGTCAAGGCTTTACAATCGAAACAGTTTCATTTTAGTTGAACTTATAATAAACGTTATGTTCATTTTTGACACAAGGTTCCGAAGAAATAGCCCAGTTTTTGATTGAAAATCATGCTGATGTTAATACTATGGACAAAAATGGCCATTCCCCACTCTACATTGCGCTCAAAGAAGGTAAACGATTTGATCGACTGACTCTGAAGTCAAATATTTCATAATAAATTGAATTTATTCCATCAAACATCAGGCCAGAAAGAAGTTGCTGTAAAGCTTATCGAAAGTGGATCAAATGTTAACTTGGAGCTAGGAAAATGGAGAGGAGTCATATTTCGTTGTGCTATTCAAAGTGGTAAAGTAAAATGCGTTATAATTTACACTCGTGTGTCGTTCTCCTCCATTTGTACCATGTACACTGTACACATTGAAAGGCAAATGTTCATAATACGCACTTGATACAAGTGGGGAATGCCAAGGTTTTTTATTTTTTCGATAAAAATAGCATAAAATTAAGTACTGAAAGCATTCAGCGGTACGATTAATTCATTCTTTACATGCGTTCATGGTTATATTGGATTTCTGGCTTTTGTGTTAGTGTATGTTATGGCTTATTATTATCAAACACATAGACCTTGAATCAAGTAACCTTGAAAGCAACACTGGATTTTGAATGATTTCATTGTGAAAATTAATTCTACAAATCTTTCTAGTTGAAAAGAAAAAGAGAAGAAAGGAACTTATCGCAAAATTGAATATATCTCATGTGGATAATGACGTGAGCATAACAGATGCATTTAAAAAAGTTATTGAAGCAGGTGCGTCATAACATAAAAGAGTATACGCTTTTTGATAAAAATTGAATCAATGAATGATACACGAATTGAATCTAAATAAATTATTTTATGTAAAATGCTTCATATGGCCGGTTTAGATGATGTTTTTTCAGCCAAATTTATCATAAAAAATTGTTACAACGACTTAAGTGGAATACTGAGTCAGTCACTTTTTGGCCCTGCGACTGGAGGTAAGTTTGGTGGTCCAACAGTTCAATTATTTAAAGTTTATGGTAAGATTTGATTTTTTATCACTTTTAAAGGACAAGTAAAAATCGTGAAAACACTCATCGAACACGGTGCCAACGTTAACGCTACGAATAATGTCGGAGATATGCCACTTCATGTAGCTGCTTGGAATGGTAAAAATAATCATAACGCATGACATGGGCGTGAGGAAAAGTATAGCAAACTTGCGATTTTGATGCATTTATATTTCAGGTCATGTGGAAGTTGCAAAAATCCTCGTTCAATACAGTGCCGACGTTACTGCTAAGGATAATAAAGGAAGTACAGCACTTCATTTTGCTGCTGATAGTGGTAATTATTTACCCGTCCTTCAATTGAAGAAACTCTTAGTTTCTCAACTTTCGATTTTGATCCATCCACAATTCAGGACACTTGAATTTCATTGAATTCCTCATCGAACACGGGGCCAACGTCAATGCAAAAGATAATGTTGGATGGACACCGTTGAATATTTCTGCATGGAAGGGTTACTGTCTAACTATGGTTTTTCAAACTCGAATAGACTTTGAAATTTGATCCATTCATTCCAGGTCGTCTAAATATCACTAAATATCTCATCGAACACGGGGCTAAAATAAATACCAAAGGCAATAATGGATACACGGCCATTGCAGTGGCTGCCATATATGGTATTCGATTCCTTATAAATGCATAAACCCTATTAGAATACATACAAACTTTTGATTGTGATTCATTCACGTTGCAGGTAATGTAGATGTCACTAAATACCTAATCGAACATGGTGCTGACATCAATGTTAAAGGCGATAATGGATTCACACCATATGATATTGCTAGGACAAATGGTAATTGCCTTGATATTCACTCTAAAGTGAGTGTTTACAACGCAAACAAACTTTTAATTCTGATTCGTTCACATTTCAGATCATGCGGAAGTCGCGAAAATCCTCATGGAACATGGAGCTAAAGACAGTAGTACTAAGAGTAGTACAAAAGATAATAATGGATTGGTTTATATAATCGTTGGTGTTGTGGCATTGATTTTTGTTTCGGCGATTTCGATTACGTGTTTATACGTGCGAACGAGACGGAGAAACGAAGTAATACGTAAACAAAATGCAATAGAACTAAAATGTTTCGAGCACGGCAATGTAGAAGGGATAAGCTCAAAACTCACGTTAGAAGAACAGGCTGATCTTTTGCCCTACGATAAAAAATATGAATTTCCCCGTGATAAGCTGAAGCTTGGAGCACAGCTTAGTGGTGGTGCTTTTGGTATCGTTTATGAGGGAATTGCACATGGCATTCTACCTAATGAGAAGGAGACCAAAGTGGCCGTCAAAATGGTCAAAAGAATGTCAAATGATGAGGTTTGTAGAACGATTTGGAGATTTACTATTGACTGAAAATCTTGATATTAATTACGCATGAATTGATACTCAAGATATTGCGTGCTCTGATTTTGGAATTGAAGATTATGGTACATTTGGGCCAACATTTGAATTTGGTCAATTTACTTGGAGCAGTCACGACGAATATTACACGATGTAAGAAAATAGAAAATACAATTTTTTTCGCAATTTCTCCAGAATAAAGGTCATTATTGCCTTGATTATTTCAGACGATATGATGATCATTGTTGAATACTGTCGATATGGTTGTCTGCAGAATATCCTAATCAAAAGCCGATCGTCATTCGTCGATCAGATTGATCGTGAGACGGGCACAATTATTTTGAACACAAATGCAGGAGAACAACAGAACGTAGCAAATGAGAGGTAATTCCATTTTGAGTTTTGTGGTTTATGTGTTAAATAATCCACAATTTAAATATTTGGTTTGTAGTCATCAAGCGGGTCAATATTCGGTTACCAATTCATTGTATATTCGAAATTTCAATGATAAGTATCACTGCTCAGTCATTAATTCATTATACATTCCATATTCGAATGACAGGGATCGACCAGCAGATGGACCTTCATGTAAATGCCCATTTCAAGCATCTTTTCAAGAGAACTTTCATAATTTTTATTCATTTTTTTTTATGTAGGCAAACCCAGCGGGGTAACTGATTCTGAATCAATACCCCAAATTGCAACGATCGATTTATTTTGTTGGTCATTCCAAATTTCGCGTGGAATGTATTATTTGGCATCACGCAAAGTGTTGCATGGTGACTTAGCAGCGAGGAACGTTCTTTTGAGCGATTATAACGTGATTAAAATTTGTGACTTCGGTTTGGCTCGATCGTTGTACAAAACTGATGTTTACCGTAAGAAAAAAGAGGTAAGTTTTGGACCCAATATAAAGAATATTATACAGATTTGTTTAAAAGAATGACTTTTGATTCATAGGCACTGCTCCCATTCAAATGGTTGGCTCTCGAGTCTATCGAGGATCTCGTATTTAGTATTCACACTGACGTTTGGGCTTTCGGAATTGTGCTTTGGGAGTTGTTTTCACTAGGAATGACGCCATATCCTGGTTTGAGTTCAGGTCAAGATTTGTATCAAAAATTACTGGACGGTTACAGAATGGAAAAGCCCAAATATGCTACCCAAGACATGTAAGAAACCAATAACTTGGAACATATTGGCAATGTAGACTATTGAAACTTTGGTTTTTTTTCCTAGATATGACATTATGTTGGCATGTTGGCGGAAAGTGCCTGAGTCGCGTCCATCATTCGATGAGCTTGAAATAAAGCTCTCTAAGTTTTTGGACACCAACGTTGCCAATCAATATATCAAATTAAACGAACCATATTTGAAAGCAAACGTGGAGAAATACGAAGGTGGAAAAACCGATTTTATATCCTTGATGGGAACACCCGATTTTAAAGCACCATCTGCACCATCAGGAATAGCGCTCGAATGCAATGCGATTGTTGAAATTCATCAACAATCAGATGAATCATCATTATAATTGCAAGCGGTATTTCCGTAAATGCGCAGACAATGTCTGCGGCAGACATAATTTGTGCAGATTATCTTTTGGTGCCATCAGTGATGACTCAACACCAAGATTCTCATTCTTCAAAAGTTAGTTTTTAGTAGATGATAAAAGACATAGCCAAATGATGAAATGTGCCTCGTCACAAAAATAAAACCTCAATGAAATGATCCTGTGCATACCATGATATGTTCGCTCCCAAATGGACATACAATTTTGGTGACAAACAATTTAAATTTCAGTTTTATACCAGTTTTTTCGACCAGTTTTTATGCCATAATTCTTATATTTTTATAAGCTTTCTGTATACCAAAGAACGACGAACTTGGTTGGATTCTTGACAACTTTTACATTTCGATGTACACACACATATAAATACGTATGGTGGATTGGAAAACGTCAGCAATGAACTATACTAACACTTGGTGTAGCAAGTTCATCGAGTGTGTGAACGGGTGACAATATTCGATGACTTCAAAATCATATGAAAAACCACACAAGTGTTGACAGTGCAAACTCACGATTTTTTCAAAATATTATATTTAAATAACAAATCGTGAATGAAGCCTAGGCTTTGCAGAGCCCGAATATCAGGTCGATGTCGTTGGCCCCACCCCAATTTGGTGCTGGGTCGTCCTATATACCAAAATTTAGTGCTAATTTAGTGCTGTCGATTGGTACCTAGCATGATTTTAGTGCTGCCCTCTATGCGAATATTTTTGATTTTGAAAAAACTGACCATGTTGTTTTGGCCACTTTGTATGGGATTTTCTCGAAAGCTTGACATTATCGATTTCTCGTATACCCTACAATTTAGTGCTATTTTAGTGCTGCCAAATGACACCCCCCACGATTTTGGTGCTGCCCCATGGACGGGTATTTTTGAATTTTTTCGAAAAATCGCATATCAAAATATCGATTGGCATATTTATTGCAGAAAAACTGGTCATGATTTTTTCAGATAATTCATTCAAATAACTCTAAAAAATTACACGACGTCCTTTTCGGGGCTGCTCCTCACCTTGGAGAGATGGGAGAGTTTCAAAAAGTAAAAAAAAATTGCTAAAAATTATTACAATTTTAGTTCAAATTAAGGTTTAAATTCCGGAAAATTAAGGTATATGTCATCAGCACCGCCCGGAAATAGTGCTGGTAAACCAGAATATCTAAAAAATAGTGCTGTCGATTGCAATTGGTCCCATGAATAAAGCTGTCAACGGACAGAAGGTTGTCCGTCCGTCCGTCCGAAAAGTTCGGACGGACTGATTTTGTCCGTCCGAAAAAAATGAAAATTTCGGACGGACAAATTTTGTCCGTCCGAAAATTTTATCTCGGACCAACGGACAAACGGACAGCATTTGTCCGAAACTGTCCGTGTCCGTTGACAGCTTTACCCATGAATAGTGCTGTTTGGAGACGCTAGCACTGCGCTAGCAATGCGATTTTATTTAAAATAAAATCTCTACTGTGATTTTTAGGTATAAATTGAGAAAAGAAATGTTCGAAAATCAGCTTTGAATGTAGTATGATTTGTTATAGGCGACAAACAATTGGATCCAGGATTAAATGCAACTGGTTGTTTCTTAATTTATTTAGACATTAATGTTTGTGCTATCGTTTGTGTTGTTTATCATCAAAGCACGCACAATTGCCATCTCAAGAAA